TCGTTGACAATAAAAACGTATCGTCATGTTCACAACACCCGATACTTTGTCGAAAATACGATCGTACCAGATTCATTGGCTTCCCACGCAAAATAAAATGAAAAAAAAAAAAAATTTCAAAGTAATTCACATTCCATAAATAAAATTCTCGATTTTTATCTTTTTTTCCATCGAGAAATTTTTCACAATTTTTTTTTTTATGTTTTATCGATAATATAAAATTTTATTTATTTTCTCCTAAAAAAAAAAGAAAATAAATAAAATAAAATAAACTTTTTTCTCTTCTTCAAAAATAGTATCAAAAATTTTGTATTTACAATTTTAAATACCAAAAAAAATGTAAATTTTAAATTAATTTTATATATTTCTTTTTCATTAAAACAATCACAGAAAATTAAAAGGCATTAAAATAAGCTGCAACGCTTATTATTTTAATCCAATTTTGCTTATTTTAATACTAAAATGGATTAAAATAAGCAGAATTGGATTAAAATAATAAGCGTTGCAGCTTATTTTAATGCCTTTTAATTTTCTGTGATGTTTTTCAAAAATTTTCAATAAAAAAAGTTTTGAAAAAATTAATTTTTTGTGTCATAGTAATGAATTTTTTAATAGAATAATAATAATATTATTATTATTATTATTTTTATTATTATTATTATTGTTATTGTTATTATTATTATTATTATTATTATTATTATTATTATTATTATTATTATTATTATTATTATTATTATTATTATTATTATTATTATATTCATTGTTGAAGTTATAACTCAAATATTATTATTATTATTATTATTATTATTATTATTATTATTTTATTAATATAATATTCTACTATAACAATGAAAATTTTAAAAAAATTATTTTATTAATAATATAATAATTATATTATTAAAATAAAATTGAAAAATAATTATTTTGTTAATTTTTGTTAACAAACAAATAAACAAGATAGTGAAGCAGTAAAAATGTAGGAAACAACTAGACATTAAATAAATTATGTGATATGTATCTCGAAAACTTGAAGAAACGCGCTCGCAGTAAAACACTAAAAAAGAACGCTCGCGATTGTAAAACTAGCGAAACATTTACGTACCAATTAGAAGATATTTTTATAGACCAATAAACATTGTAATGCGCTTCAAATTACACTCTCTGAATCATATCGCAAATATTCAATAAATATATGAGAAAAAAAAATTGCAAAAAAAAAAAAAAAAGATAATCAATATTTTTTTTTTTGTTTTATTTTCAAATATTGCCATATATACACATATACTTAACAAAAAAAAGAAAGAAAGAAAGAAAGAAAACAGTTGCAATCACAAAAACAAGCAATTATTTCACGATAATATAATTTTTTACCGTCATTATTTTTTTAATGTTTTTCCCATTAAGGAATTTGTTTCTTTGTCAATTTAATTTTTTTTTAAGTTTAATTTCTTTTATTTTTTACTTAATTTTTAATAATAAAAATTAAATTATTTAATAATTTTTTATTAATAAGAATTAAAAATTTTTAGTTCTTGAATAAATTTAATTATTTAATAATAGTAATCTACATTACCGACAGTCGATAATGTAGAGTTCATCTTTATCGACAATTAATTTATTAAACAATTTTTAATAATAATATAAGAATAATTTTTTTTCTTTTATTTTTTTTATTTTTAATACCTTACGTATTTTGTGTATTTAAACACAATTCTATTTTTCTACTTGTGATAAATACCGATAGTCGGTAAAGAAGATCTCTGTATTATTGAGTGGAGATAATGTGGAATTCATTTATATCGACAAATTAATTACCGTTAAAGGGGTCTCTACATTACCGACAGTCGGTAAAGTAAAATTATTATAGTAATAATTTGCAATTACAAGTGTCAAGGGTTCGATTCCCGGCTAATTAAAATTTTTTCTTTTTTTTTTAATTTTTCAAATTGCATCGTTATTTAAAACCAACAAAGGGAATTTAGAATCACAAAATATGTTTTTTTTAACAAAAAAAACCATTTTAGCAAATTTATCTTCTGCATTCTTTTCTCTTTTTTTTTGTTATTTTTCCCCTCGTAACATTTTGACCCTCGGCGTTGTGTGCCACCCTCAACATTGGAAAACACCATCGGAATTGCGATTATGGTGGTAATATTACTCTATATGTGTTTCGAGGGGTCGAATTCGAAGGGAGTGGGGTAAACTGGGGGGGGGGGGGGTGAAAAGCATTTTCATTCGAAGTAAAATTGGCGCCGGAGCTTATTGGCTTTATTTCTAACGGCAGTTCATATCTATTATTACCACTTGCTTTCTCTATATGTATACATATATATATGTAGTGACTTGGGGTTACTTTTAGGGTTGGTTTCAAAACCCGGGGGGGGGGGTAGAAAGTACGAATTGTACGGAAAACTTGAGTCTAAGTCTATTAGGAACTTACCTAATGAAGGCGTGGTTCAATTATACTAATGTATATCAAATATATATATATATATATATGTATATAAGTAGTATTTCACCATAATCCACTGAATTTCAACCCCAGACGAAAATGTCTTTATATTGTCACGTTGAAAGTTTTAATTAACGTTATTTTAGTTTGTAAAAGTAAATTAAGTACATTTGCAGCCCTAAATTTGGTGTTTTATTTCGTAAAATTAATTTTTACCAATATTTGTTTAAATGGCCTAGTTGGTAATCACCCGGGTTTGTAATTTTGCAACCAGGGTTCGATTCTTCCCACAGGAGAATTTTTTTTTTATTAAATATTTTTTTACATTTATTTATAATTGTAAATTTTTATTTAGAATTATAAATTTTTACTTATAATTGTAAATTTTTGTTTAAAATTATAAATTTTTACTTATAATTTTAAATTTTTATTTAGAATTATAAATTTTTACTTAGGTATAATTGTAAATTTTTATTTAAAATTATAAATTTTTACTTATAATTGTAAATTTTTATTTGAGAATTCTAAATTTTTTATTTATAACTGTAAATTAAATTTTTTCACAATTATAAATTATAATTGGTATAGAAATTAATTTTTTTTTTGACATTTGTTTCGTGATATTTAAATTAATTTCGTTCTTATTTTCCCATCGGCAAAAAGTAGGGGGGGAAAAAATTGATAAATATATTTTTTTTTCCTCTCTACTCTTTCTTATTCTTTTCTTTTGTGGTGAGCGCGTAATTCGTTTAAAACGATCGCAGCAGTAAATTCCTAGGGTGGTTATTAGGGATGACGATAAAACGCGGTTTATTTGGACGCCTCGACGCCAAGCGTCGTTGTCGTCCTCGTCGTCGTCTTTCGCCCGTGAAATACGAGCTCAACTTTATTACAGTGAAATTTCATCGGGATGGTAAAATTTTTATTTTTTTTTATTACTCCTTTAAGAATTGCGTAAAGAAGAGAGAAAAAAAATTAAACTTATAACCACACACACACACAAGGCGTTAATATTTATTTTAATGCATCGCTTTTAATTCACATTCCTAGCGATATATTTTTTTATTTTCATTTTTTTTACATTTTAAGAGCAAAATATTGACAAAAAAAATTAATAAATTGTATCTGCATATAAGTAATACAAAAAAAGTTATAATTTACTCCAAAATTGAATGAAATATCCAAAATAGATAATTTTGGAAATTTTTTAGAAAGTAGCCGACTGTGTTAAGGCACCACTTTTTTTCGAAATTAGTACCAAGGGTTCGATTCCTGGTGGGATATAATATTTTTTATTTATTTTTTTTTATTTTTATTTAATTACTTATTTTATTTTTTTAGCAAAATATTATCAAAAAAATTAATAAATAAAAGTATTTGCGTATAAATAATGTAAAACTGTTTTAATTTACCCCAAAAATTGAATGAAATTTAAAAAATAGTTAAATTTGGAATTTTTTTAAAGAAAATAGCCGAGTGTGTTAAGGCACTACTTTTTTCGAAATTAGTACCAAGGTTTCGATTCCTGGTGGGTGATAATTTTTTTTATTTTTATTTAATTATTTATTTTACTTTTTAGCAAAATATTGGCAAAAAAAATAATAAATAATAGCATCTGCGTAAAAATAATGTAAAAATGTTTTAATTTACCTCAAAAATTGAATGAAATTTAAAAAATAATTAAATTAGGAATTTTTTTTAGAAAATAGCCGTGTGTGTTAAGACACCACTTTCTTCGAAAATTAGTACCAAGGTTTCGATTCCTGGTGGGTAATTATTTTTTTTTTTAATTTTTATAAATTTTTTTTCGTCTAATATAAAAATAAATATTTAAAAAAAATGTTTGTACGCTATGAATAGAAAAAAAACATTATATGCACGTTCTCGCGAGGTAAAATTCAATTACTCCTGGCGTTTAACGGCAGTTAGCAATTTTCTGAGATACCACGGTGTGCGGAGTTCACAGTGAATTTTCTTTTAATGGGTTCTCGTTGTTCCTTGGGTTATACGAACAATAAAAAAAAATTGAATTGGCTCAACCTCGACATTAAGACCTGATGCTCGAAACAATGTTTGGAATTTATATCCACACGCTAACACAAAGCAAATTATTTTGTCAAAAATGTAAATAAAAATGTCAATGTATATTTTTGAATTTTTTTAAATTTAATTTTATTAATTTCGTAATTAATATTAAAAAAAAGTTTAGAATTCGCGATCCCTTTGTCATTTAGATTTCCTTTGAAGACCATTTTTAATTTAACCTCTTCTTTCATTCTTATTTTTTTTTCTACTATACGAAATTTCGTCTGGAAAGTTCGATCAGAGAAGTTTCCTCGGTTACAGAATCTGTTTTATTCTTTGTAGTCGGTCCTTGGGGCGAGATCGTGGTAAAGAGAGAGAGAGAGAGTAAAGTGTAGAAAGCCGGGAAGATAAACTCTCCCAATGTGACTTTACCCTGGCAGTTTGAAAAGTTATTTTATATATGTATATATATATATATATATAAAAAGAGAGGAATAAAAAAGAAACTTTTTTTTTATCACAGTGGGTTGAGGAGTCGTTCACCAACTTCGACAAGGGAATCAACTGGAGGAGTTATGTGGTCTGCGATGTTGCTTACAATAATGTCAACAATTGGCTATGGACGCCATTTATCGAAAGGGGACCAGCCAATAGAATGTACATCGAAATAAAATTCACAACAAGAGACTGTTCATTATTCCCTGGTAATGCGCTTAGTTGTAAGGAAACATTTAGTCTTCTTTATTATGAATTTGATGCGGCAACTAAGGAGCCACCGCCATGGGAACCTGATAGTTATAAACTAATTGGTGAGTACTTCTATTTTTTTAATATTTTTTTTAATTTTTAAAAAATTATTAAATTTTTATTATAAATTTTCTTTTAATTATAATTATTTATATTTATTTATTTTTAATGGTTTTATTAATTTTTAAATATTTTTTTGTGACAGCGTCTGAAAAAAGAATATTTTGCACTTTTTTCGATTTTTATTACAAAATATTTTTAAAGAATTTTTTTTTTTTTTATAAAAACCGCTATTTTTATTTTGAAAAACTGACACTAAATTCGTAATCAGCTACTCCGAAAACGCCCGAGTGACAAGTTTCAAGCGAATTAGAAGAAAAAATTTTTTTAATTCCGCCATATTGGATCCGCCGTTAGGAATTTTTGAAATCCTATACCAGATTCGTAATCAGCGACCTCAAAAACCCCCGAGTGACAAGTTTCAAGCGAATTAGAAAAAAAAAATTTAATTCCGCCATATTGGATCCGCCATTTTGAATTTTTGAAATCCAATACCAGATTCGTGATCAGCAACCTTGAAAACCCCCGATTGACAAGTTTCATGCGAATCAGAAATTAAAAAAAAAATTCCGCCATATTGGACACGCAATTTTGAATTTTGAAAAACTGACATCGGATTCGTGATCAGCGACCCCAAAAATCCCCGAGTAGACATATTTGAATTGATAAAATATTTTTCTCTAATTTTTTGGACCAGCAGGTACGTGCGTTCGTCATAAGATAACCGTTCTTTCAAAAAAAAATTATTTTATTTATTATGGTCTGTAATTTAATTATTATTAACACTACACGGAGAGAAATCTGCTGCGATTTGCGCATGAGCAAGTCCATGGGAATATAGCATGGACACTTCCAAGCAAAAACTATAAGATTCCATCTGAATATCAGGTGAGACTCATACAATAATACCTCGCTCACTTAGGATTTTTGCTTGAAAGCGTCTGTTACTATATTCCTAAGGACATGCTCATGCGTAAATCGCACCAGATTTCTCTCCGTGTAGGAAACAATAACGAATCTTATGTCGTATTTCCAAAATTCAAAATGGCAGCTGCAATAAGGCGGGAATTTTTTTTTTAATTTCTGATTTGCTTGAAACTTGTCACTCGGGGTTTTTTGGGGTCGCTGATTACGAATCCGATGTGAGTTTTTCAAAATTCAAAATGGCGGCCGCAATATGGCGGACATATGTTTTTAAAATTTATCCAATTTGGTTGAAATTTGTTACTCGGGGGTTTTCAGGGTCGCTGATCACGAATCTGTTATCAGATTTCCAAAATTCCAAATGGCGGATCAAATATGGCGGAATTAAAATTTTTTTTTTCTAATTCGGTTGAAATTTATTACTCGGGGGTTTTAGGGGTCGCTAATTACGAATCCGTTGTCAGTTTTTCAAAATTCAAAATGGCGTGTCCAATATGGCGGAATTTTTTTTTTAATTTCTGTTTCGCTTGAAACTTGTCACTCGGGGGTTTTCAATGTCGCTGATCACGAATCTGGTATTGGATTTCAAAAATTCAAAATGACGGTTCGAATATGGCGGAATGAAACATTTTTTTTTCTAATTCGCTTTAAACTTGTCACTCAGGGGTTTTTGAGGTCGCTGATTACGAATCTGATATCGGATTTCAAAAATTCAAAATGGCGGATCCACTATGGCGGAATTAAAAAATTTTTTTTTCTAATTCGCTTGAAACTTGTCACTCGGGGGTTTTCAAGGTCTCTGATCACGAATCTGGTATCGGATTGCAAAAATTCAAAATGGCGGTCGCAATACGGCGGAATTTTTTTTTTAAATCTCGCAATATTGCTTGTAACTTATCACTCGGGGGTTTTGGATGTCGCTGATCACGAATTTGGCAACGGATTTCAAAAATTCAAAATAGCGGTCGTAAAATGAAGAAAAATTTTTTAAAAAGTCGCTCACTTTTGCTTGTAAATTCCTACTCAGTGGTTTTTTGAGGTTACTGACTTAGTTAAATAAAAATTGAAAAATAATTTTTTCGACCCTACCACCTTTTTTTCAGTTTCGCTGTCACATTCTCCACTTTTTAGCAGCTAAAAAATACATTTAAAAAAAAATGAAATTAAAATTATTTTTCAGGTCGTATTGCCGCTGGCGAGGGTCGTTTCAATACAAATACAGAAGTAATAATCAACACCGAAGTAAAATCAATTCCAGTGACAAAAAAGGGTGTTTATTTTGCATTTCGCGATCAAGGTGCATGTATCTCGATTCTAGCCATTAAAGTCTACTATATAAGTTGTCCCGAGGTATCAGTGAATTTCGCCCATTTTCCAAAAACACCAACTGGCCGTGAAGTTGCACTCATTGAACAGGCAAAAGGCACATGCGTGGCTCACGCTGTTAAAATTGAACAACCAACTTTTCTTTGTAAAGGCGATGGTAAATGGTATTTACCAGCTGGTGGTTGTCATTGTAAACCAGGATTTCAAGCTGACGCCGAAAAACAACAATGCAATCAATGTCCAATTGGACGTTTTAAACATGAATCAGGCTCAAATCAATGTGAATCATGTCCAGCTCATAGTAAAGCGCCCGATTATGGTTTCACTGAATGTCGCTGTGATGCGGGCTATTTTCGTGCTCCTGATGATCCTAAGAAAATGCCATGCACACAACCACCATCGGCACCACAAAATCTCACTGTAAATTTTGTCGATCAATCAACAGTAATATTATCATGGAATTCACCTCATTTATTGGGTGGACGAATTGATACAACATATCGTGTTGTTTGTGATTCATGTAGTTCAGGCGTTAAATATATACCAACAAATACAGAATTATTTAACGAGACAAAAATTACAATTACCGATTTAAATGCAGTGACGACATATCGTTTTCAAGTATTTGCAGAAAATGGCGTATCACAAATGGTGGGAAAAAGTGAATACGTTGATATTACAGTGACAACGGAGGCGAGTGTTCCAAATCTTGTCAGTAATGTGAGAATTACAAGTGTCAAGAGTATGGAACTTAGTATTAGTTGGGATGCGCCTGTTGCTGATATTGCTGGCGATAGTGATTTGGTCGAACGTTACGAAGGTGAGGGACAATATTTGATTTTTTTTTTATCGAATTAAAGAGATTTTTTTTCCGTTTTTAATTTTTTTTCTTTTTTTTATATTAATCACCTGAAAAATGAAACACTTTAAATTTTGAGCGTTTCAAATTCGAAGAATCACAACAATTTAACGTTTAAAATTTTGAGCACCTAAATTAAATTTTAAATGCTAATTTTTAGAAATAAAAATAAAAAAATTTTATTTATTTATTTTTTTTTTAATTTTGTAAATGTTGTGTGAGATTTTAATTTTTAATTTTCCGAAAGCAAAATTTTGTAGTGATTATTAACAAGAGACGTTTTGATTTGTCTCCAAAAGAGCCTCTCTTTTTAGTGAGATGCTATCCGCACACGAATGACGCGTCAAATGCAACTGTCATTGAAACTTCGGATCTCTCAGCAACTATCAAGGGTCTCAAGCCAGGAACAGAATATGCTCTTCAAGTTAGAGCTAAAACTACAAGAGGTTGGGGCGAGTACACGCGGGTGATTTACAAAAAAACACCCCATGCAATGGGACTCGGTGAGAATTTTAATAATTTTTTTCTTCAATTTTTATTTTCACAAAACTAATAATTATTAAATTCTTTATTTAAAAATAAATATTTATTATTAATTTCCCTACTCAAAATATAAATAAATAATTAATTCTATACTCATAGAAAGAATTTCCAAACTAAAAAAATAATTTTTATACAGTAGCCGCGAGGACAAAGTGTCGAAATGTTGTGAAATAGCAACAGGTTCGATTCCCGGTGGAGAAAAATTTTTTTTTTGCATAAAAAATATAAAACTTATTTTTCAAACTTATTAACTAATTTTTTTAGTTATTAATATTAAAAGAAATTAATTTTTTAAGTAATAAATAATAATAATAAATAATTTTTTTTTTGTCAATAGATTATGTTGGAGACGAAGACAATATGCAAGTGCGAATAATTGCCGGAGCAATTGTTGCTGTCGTCGTTCTACTTGTCATTATTATTATAATGACTGTTCTGTTCCTCAGAAGGTAATATCAATTTTGGAGTATTTAAAATATAAAAAATAAAATTATTTTTCTAAATAAAATTACTAATTCTTAAATTTAATTAGTTTTCAAAACTAAATGTTTTGAGTACGAATTTCAAATACCTCAAAATTTGAAAATTTTCAAGCTTTTGAAAAATTAAGAGCGATTCAAAAAAAATTCATTGTTTTTCAATTTTAAACGTTTTAGAACGCCTTAAAATATTAACGTTTCTTTTAAGAGCTATAAATTTTGAGCACCTCAAAAATTAAACGTTAAAAAAGTTGAAGATTTCATGTTTTAAGCAGCTCAAAAATAAAACGCTTTCAATTTTAAGCGTTTTAAGTTTGAAGAAAATCAAAAATTGAAAGTTTAAAATTTTGAGCATTTTAACATTGAAACGCCTAAAAATTTTAACGTTTTTTTTAGCGTTTCAAATTTTCTACATTTTATGTTTTGAGCACCTCAGAAAAAACGCTTAAAAATTTTCAGCGTTTTAAGTTTGAAGAACCACAAGAATTGAACGTTTAAAATTTTGTGCGTTTAAAAATTGAAACGCCTTAAAATTTTAACGTTTTCTTTGAGAGTTTTAAATTTTGAGCATTTAAAATGTTGACGATTTAAAATTTAAGCACCTCAAAAATAAAACGCTTAAAAATTTTCAGGGTTTTAAGTTTGTAGAACCTCAAAAATTGAACGTTTAAAATTTTGAGCGTTAAAAAATTGAAATGCTTTAAAATTTTAACGTTCTCTATGATCGTTTGAAATTTTGATCATTTTCAATTTTGAACACCTCAAAAATTGAACGTTTAAAAAAATTTTTTACATTTTAAAAATTGAAACGTTCTGAAATTTGTATGTTTTCTTTGAGCGTTTTCAATTTTTAATCACTATTAATTTTTTTTTATTATTATTTTTAAAAGTTTTCTATTTATTTTTAGTGTTAAAAAGTTTTTAGTTCTTTTTTTTTGACAAATTTCACTTATATAATCGAATATCGATGCAGCAGGGCCTCTGACGAATGCAACAAGAAGCAGCCAAGTGACTGTGACACATTGGAATACAGAAATGGCGAAGGTACGTTTAAAAAATTTGATTTGCATAATTTTAGAAATTTTTTTTTTTTTTTTTTTAATATATTTTATCTCTCTTTTTCTTTTTTTTAGAAAAATTTATTCACACCAATAGCCCCTTATTGCTCTAAATTTATTTATATATATATATAGTTGTCTCACTACGCCCTCGTGTGTCTTGTGACTAATATTTGAAACCAACCACCCCCCTTTTAGCAAGTCTTTAGCAAGTGTATCACGCCCTCGTATTATATCTTTAAATCTTTAATGATTTTCTCACATTGTTGTTGAGTGAACCCTTTAGACTAAAAAAAAAAATGAAAAAAGGGAAAGAAATCAATTTTAAAATAATTGAATTTTTAATTTTAGACAAAAAAAAAACCAAAAGAAAATTAAAAAATTTATTTATAATAAAAAAGAATTTGCAGAAAAAATAATTTAATTTGTTAACTCAAAATGAAAATTTTTAATTTAAAATATAAAATTATTTTTTAAAATTAAAATTGAATTCATTTCAAAACTATTAACGTTCTATAAATTTGAGCGTTTTAACTTTTAAGCACCTTAAAAAAATGAGCTTTTTAAACTTTTAACGCTTTTAGATTTAATTTTTTTCTTTGAGCGTTTTCGAATTTCGAAGGCCTCAAATTTTTAACGTTTTTAAAATTGAACAATTTATGTTTTGAAACATAAATTGTTTAAATTAAACGTTTACAGTTTTGAGACACTTAAAAAATTTAAACGTTTACAATTTTGAGCGTTAAAGTTTTGAGCCGCTAAAAAATTGAACGTTTAAAATTTTGAGCATTTTAAAATTGAAACGCCTAAAATTTTTAATGTTTTTAAAATTAAAAATTTTAAGTTTTGAGCCGCTCAAAATTTAAACGTTTATAATTTCAAGCGTTTAAAAATTTTTCAACTTTAAAGGATCTCAAAAAAACGTTTTAAGCATTTTAATGTTTTAAAATTTGAACGTTTAAATTTTCAAAGACCTGAAAATTTTAACGTTCGAAATTTTTAACTATTTTTAAAATTAAAAATTTGAAATAAATTAAAATTTATTTAATTCTGCAAATTTTTTTTTTTTTTTGAATTAAAAAAAAATTAAATAAATAATTAAAGAAAAATTTTTAATATTTGTTTAAGAGAAAATTTCAGAAAAAATTTTGAAAAAAAAAATTTATAAAACTAAAAAAAGCGAATTTTATTAACAGTGTGATATATTTTTTCTTTTTTTGTGTTTCTTGGCCCGCATTGTGTGCCATGTTTTTCTAACGAAATTCTTTCGATTCTTTTCTTTTCATGTGCGTTAATCCTAAACTATTGAACCTGCCTCCATGAAAAAAAACCCTTCATGAACCTAATGAAACAATGTACACAATCGCCTGCTACTTCAGGACTAGTTGTGACCTACAGTAAGTCATATCCAAACACCTCAAATTTTTTTATAGGGTCAAGGAATTTTTTTTTGTTTTTTTTTTTTATTATATTGTTGGTAGATTGTCACTGCACCCCTTTGAGAATGAATTTAGATTTAGTGTTGTAGAAATTTTTTTTGTTTGCAAACAAACGCATACGCACACGAAAAAAAATTTGTCATTTTTATCATTTACATTATAAAATATTTTTCAAAAATAATAGGCATAAAAGAAATACTTTTGTATATCTCGAAAATATACAATTTTTTAGAATAAAAAAAAATACTATAATTTAAATAGTTTATTTTTATTATATCATTAAAAAAAAAAAATTTTAATTACGTTTCCCCTATTTATTTTTCTTTTAATAGTTTTTTTTTCCAATTTTGAATTTTAATAAAATAAATGTTTCTTTTATTGACAGAAAAAAATTTTTTTTTTCTTTAGAAAAAAACAATTCAAAAATTCTTTTAACCTATTAAAATTTCTCCTAACTTTCAAATTTGAGCACTGCGAGATATTTCTGCTTTTTTAATAATAATAATAATAATAATAATAATAATAATAATAATAATAATGATAATAAAAAAAAACATTTTTGAATATTTTTTTAATGCTTTAAAATTTAAGCGCTGCATTTTTTTTATTAAACGCTTAAAATTTTTAGCGTCTCAATAATTTTACAGTTTTAAAACTTTTAAGACCTCAAAAATTAAACATTTACAATTTTAATTATTTAAAGTTTTAAACGCCTTAAAAAGTAAATGATTACAATTTTGTGCGTTTAAATTTTTAATCGCCTCATAAGGGAAAGTTTAAAATTTTGAGACTTTTCACAATAGGAACGCTTCAAAAAAAAATTTAACGTTTTTAAATTTTCAGCGTTTTGAATTTGAAGAAAATGAAAAATAGAACTTTTAAAATTTTGAGTGTTTTAAACTTGTAACAACGTAAAATTTTAACGTTTTCTTTGAGCGTTTCAAATTTAGAGCATTAAAAATTTTAAAGTTTCAAAGTTTTAAATACCTCAAAAATAAAACGCTTTAAATTTTGAGCGTTTTAACTTTGAAGAAGCTCAAAAATTGAACGTTTAAAATTCTCAGCGTTTTAAAAATAGAGCGCCTTGAAATTTTAACATTTTCTTTGAGCGTTTTAAATTTAGAGCACCTCAAAAATTAAACGTTTTAAATTTTGAGCATTAAAATTTTTAAACTTTCCAAGTTTTAAGTACCTCAAAAATAAAACGCTTTAAATTTTGAGCGTTTTAAATTTGAAGAAGCTCAAAATTTGAACGTTTAAAATTTTCAGCGTTTTAAAAATAGAGGGCTTTGAAATTTTAACGTTTTCTATGAGCGTTTTAAATTTAGAGCACCTCAAAAATTAAACGTTTAAAATTTTGAGTTTTTTTTTAAATTTAAAACGTTTTAAACGCTTATAAATTTAAGCCCATTAAAATTTCAACGTTTTTGTTTTATTAAAGCTTTCTATTTTATGCCCAGTACGCTTTTTAATTGCGATTAAGTTAATTGACCCAATTAAAAAAAAAAAAATAATAATAATGCCTAATTTAAATTGCTTTTGTGTGCTTATGCGGGCGTGCGCTTTGCCTGCATAGTTTTTTTTCTCTTATTTTATTGCATGATTTTTTCTAACCTCACATTTATTTTATTATAATCGTTTTTTTTTATTTTTAAAACGAGCGCGCTTTTTTTAAAAAAAATTTTTTTTCCATTATATAATGAAAAAATTTTTTTTTTCATTGCTTATCAATTATGCTACTTTTTTATAATAATAAATGGGTAATTATCTTTTGTTTAAATTTATATTAATTTTGCTGGTTAAATTTTTTTTTGCCATTTTATGTTGCTGTTTATCAATCATTTTTTTTTTTTTTTGTCATATTGTGTTGTTCACAGTGCACTGCAAAACGGACAGTTCACCGATTGTAACAACCCACACAAATAAGACAAAATCGTCGTGTAAGTTTTTTTTCTGTTGCTTTTGCAAAATGGGAATATTTTTTGTATTTCTTTTTTCTTTTTTTTTTAAAGAAAACTTTTTAAATTATTTTTTGAAATTAAAAAATTGTTTTCGTCTTATCGCGTTTTATAATAATTATCAACAAATTTCTTTTTTTTTGCACGAACTTTGTATAGTTTCTTTTAGAATTTATTTATAGTCTTTATGGAATGAAGCATGTTGTCCTTGCATATATTTTTTTTATTCTTCTTTCTATATATATATTATACATTTATATCTATATATATATATATATTGTTAATTGTTTCATGAATAAGGGAATCATTTAATTATTTAATGAAATTTCAGTATTTTTTCTTTCATCAATTTAAAAGAGGGGGGGAAAAATACTTCTACGAATCTCATTTTTGAAGAAACGAACATTTTTAAGCTTTTAAAATATTGAAGATTTAAAATTTTAAGAACGCATCAAAAATAAAATTCTTTCAATTTTGAGCGTTTTAAAAAATTAAAGCGTCTTATACTTTTAACGTTTTTTTTTAATGAGCGTTTTAAATTTTGAGCATTTTCAATTTTGAGCTACTCAAAAATTGAATGTTTAAAAAAAATTTATGAATTTAAAAATTGAAATGCCTTTTAAATTTTAACGGTTTCTTTGATCATTTTAAATTTTGAGCGTTTAAAATTCTCAGCGTTTTAAAAATAGAGCGCCTTGAAATTTTAACATTTTCTTTGAGCGTTTTAAATTTAGAGCACCTCAAAAATTAAACAATTGAAAAATTGAATGTTTAAAATTTTGAACTTTTAAAATGTTGACGATTTAAAGTTTTAAGCACATCAAAAATGAAATTGTGAACGTTAACAAATTTTTTAACATTTTAATATTAAAACGTCATAAAATTTAAACTTTAAAGCCACAAAATTTTGAGTACATTATTAATTGAGCGTTTAAAATTAAAATTTTTATTTTAAAAAAAATATTTTTTCTTTTTGAGCGTTTAAAAAATTTTTTTTTAAATTAAAAAAAAACTAATTACTTTTTTTTGTTTCACCAAAAATGAGATCAAGTAGAAAAAAAGGAAATTTCATTTCTCGATTTCAGTGTGAATTTATATAATTATTATAGTAATTATATATTGTAAAGCAATAAATTTCACTTGTGAAATATTAAGAAATTCAATAGTAATAAAATCTCAGTGAAAGAAAATAAAAGAGAATTATTATATGGGAAATCAAAATCAGAAGACAATGGAACGTCAAATAATAGTCAATAATGAGCGGCTCTGCGCGCTTACAAAGCAAACAATAATTAGTTGTATATTAGAAAGTTAATATTTGCAGTGACAGTAAAACAATGCGATGTAAGATAATAAAAAATTTATTCATTTATTTATTATTTTAAATTAGCAAAAAAAAAAAAAAAATTATTTTTTTCAAAATTTAATTATATAGTACAGTAATTATTATTATAATTGTCACCTCGTTAAAATTTCATAATTTTTAATTTATAAAAAAAAATTAATAATCACAATAATTTTTAAAATAATGATAATAATAATAATAAAATTAGAAAAAAGTTCCGTCAATTGTTTCCAAATGAAATTTAATCCAAAAAATAATAATTTCACGCTGAAATCGATTTTGTTCCAATGAGTTCAACTGTCATTGTTTCAGTTGAATTGTATTGCACATACATTGTGTTTTTTAAAAATTTTTTTTTTTACTAACAAATTTATATTTTATCTTTTTTGACACTTTAAAAAATAAGTTGGCATGAAAAATTTTGGCTGTACTCGAATCTTTGGCGGCTGATTAAAAAAAAGAAAAAAAAAAAAAGAATAATTCTTTTTGTTTTTTTTTTGAGTGAAATTATTTCACTTTATAAACTCAATATGTCTTGAAATTGGGATTTTCAAAAAATTGGTATTTTTGTGTGGTATAATTGAAAAAAAAAAAATATTTTTTGGGACGAAAATTTTTTGAGTGTTGTATTTTTAATTTTATTTAATTAATTTTTTTAAATTTTATTAATGTAGTTTTTTTATTTCTTTGTTAATTATATAATTTACGTTATTTAATTTATTTATATGTAAAACAATTTTTAAAATTTTACTTTTCCATTTGTTTCATATATTTTTTAATTTATTTATTTTTTCATTTGTTTTAAAATATTTATTTTTATATCAATTTTTAATCTTTTAAAAATTTTTTTTTTATTTTTATATTTCCATTTGTTTTCAATTTTTATTTATTTTCTCATTAATTTTGAAAAATAATTTTAATTAGCTCTAAATTTTTTAATTTATTTTTTATCAATTTTAAAAATATTTTTAATTAACTAAAGGTTTTTTTTAATTTAATTTTTCCAAAAATTTATTTTCCCATTTTTTCTTCTTTAAAAAAAAATAAATTTATTTTTCTTTTAATTTATTTAAAATACTTTTTTCTAAAATTATTTTTCAATTCTATTTATTTTTGTTTATTTTAAAAATAAAATTCACGGGTTAAAAAGAACACGATCATAAAATTTTATTAAATTAAAAAATAAATAAAAAATTTGTTTTAAGATTTTTTTCTTAAATAAAAGGTGATTTGGGGAGAAAAATTAATTTTTTTTTCTTGAAACTATGAGAAACAAAAAAAGATTGTTAAAAAATAAGAAACTAGATTCAAAAAAATTAATTAAAAAAAAAAAAAATGAAAAATTCAAATTTCCGTCAAAAATTCACAAGGTCGGCCCTGTTGTAAATATAATGAACTCTTTTTTCGTGACATTGCAGTGACGACTCCTCTCTTCACACCTGCAGTGGGAGTTGCTGGCGCGGGTGCTGGTGGTACAGGGGGCGCAAGCTCCCGAAGTTACGTTGATCCCCACACTTACGAGGATCCAAATCAAGCAGTTCGAGAATTCGCACGAGAAATTGACGCTGGATATATTACGATAGAAGCAATTATAGGTACAAATATTTCAAAAAAAAATATATATATTTCAAAAGAAAATTTTTATTTTCACTTAAAAATTAAAAAGATTTTAAAATTTAATTTTAATTAAAATTTTGAGCGTATTCAAAATTAAAACATACAAAATTAATGCCTCAAAAATAAAACGATTAAAGTTTTAAGCACCTCAAAAAATTGAACGTTTTAATTTTCAAACACTAAAATTTGAACGTTTTTAATTTTGAGCTCTTCAAAATTTCAAAGTTTAAAAATTTTAACCTATTTGAAATATGAGCGTTTTTAAAATTAAAACTTTAAAATTTAAACGTTTAAAAATTTAAAGGCTTTCTAAAATTTGAACGTTTTTAAAATTTAAACGCTGCAAAATTTTGAGCGCGTACAAAATAAAAAACCTACAAAATTTATGCCTCAAAAATAAAAAAATAAAACATTTAAAACGTTTATATTTTTTAACGTCTCAAAAATTGAACGTTTTAAATTTCGAACACTAAAATTTCAATGTTTTAAAAATAAAAAATTTTGTTTGTTTTGTTTTCTCTTTAGGTGGAGGTGAATTTGGCGATGTTTGCCGTGGTAAATTGAAATTACCACCTGATGGTCGATCGGAAATCGACGTCGCAATAAAGACTTTGAAGCCGGGCTCAGCCGATAAGGCGCGTAACGACTTCCTGACTGAAGCATCGATAATGGGTCAATTTGAGCATCCAAATGTGATATTTCTTCAGGGTGTGGTGACCAAAAGTAATCCAGTAATGATTATCACTGAATTTATGGAGAATGGTAGTCTCGATACATTTTTACGTGCAAACGATGGTAAATTTCAAGTATTACAACTTGTTGGTATGTTACGCGGTATTGCCAGCGGTATGCAATATTTAGCGGAAATGAATTATGTACATCGCGATTTGGCCGCAAGAAATGTACTCGTTAATGCTGCACTTGTTTGTAAAATTGCCGATTTTGGTTTGAGTCGCGAGATCGAGAGCGCGACCGAAGGAGCGTACACGACAAGGGTGAGTTAAAAATTTTTTTTTTACATTTTACAAAAATTTAAATTTAAACGCTCAAAATCTCAAAAAAAATTATTTTGAGCGCTCAAAATATTTTCTTTCCATTTTTGAGCGTTCACTATTTCAAAATTTTACTTAATGTTTGAGCAAATAGAAAATTTATAACGCATCTGATTTTGAGCGCTCAAAAAGTCGAAATTTCCTATTTTGAGCGCTTTTGAATTTGAGTAATCAAAATTACAAGAATTTATCCAAGTGTTTCCAAAAGTTTAAACGCATACAGTTTTGAGCGCTTAAAAATTTTGAGCATTATATTTGAACGCCTTAGATTTTGAGCGCTTTTTACTTTGAGCGTTCAAAATTTCAACAATTATTATTTTTAAGCGCATCCGATTTTTAGCGCTTTCTACTTTAAGCGCTCAAAATTTCATAAATTATAATTTAAAGCGCCTTCCATTTTGAGCGCTTTTCACTTTGAGCACTTAAAATTACAAAAATTATAATTTTAAGCGCCTCTGATTTTGAGCATCCCATTTAAAAGCCTTCGTTTTTGAGTGCTCAAAATGACAATTTTGAGCAGTCTACTGTGAGCGCTCAAAATTTCCAAAAATTATTATTTTTAGCGCCTTCGATTTTGAGCCCTTAAAATTACAAATTTTGAGCTCTTTTCACTTTGAGCACTAAAAATTTCAAATATTTTCTAATTTTGAAAGCATCTTATTTTGAGCGCTCTGAAAAGATTTATTTGATTAAAACCCTTCTCAAAATTTGAAAGCACACAATTTTGAGCGCTCACAAAAAAATTTTTTTTAAATTTTTTTCCAGGGTGGCAAAATCCCAGTACGATGGACAGCACCGGAAGCAATAGCGTTCCGTAAATTTACGAGTGCATCCGATGTTTGGAGTATGGGTATCGTTTGTTGGGAGGTTATGTCATATGGAGAGAGGCCATATTGGAACTGGTCTAATCAGGATGTGATAAAATCCATTGAAAAAGGTTATCGACTACCAGCGCCAATGGATTGTCCCGAAGCAATTTATCAATTAATGTTGGATTGTTGGCAAAAGGAGCGTACACATCGGCCGACATTTGCCAATTTAACACAAACATTGGACAAACTTATACGCAGTCCTGATACATTGAGAAAAATCGCCCAAAACAGGTAAACATTGTTTCATTAAAATTATATATATATATATATTTAAAGCAATTAATTTTTTAAGTAAAATAAAATTTCTAATTATATCCTCATAACTATAAAAACAATTACTTTATTAACATAACCTCAAAAAAAATTGTATATAATTATACTCATGAGGATATTATGAATTAGTAATAAGTAATAATTAATTATTATAATAAACATGTGACTAGCTCTACTATTAGGTCATTTATATTAACCAAAAAGAAAAAAGAATTCATAAACTAAATTGGAAAAATTAAGGATAATAGGGAATTTTTGACTAACGTAGTACGATCGGTGTAAGCCTAATCATCACCTATTTTAATTATTGTGATACAGTGTCGACATCTATCGAAAGGGCGAGATTTTATCTCACTTGATATCTAAAGATCGATTATTTTTAAAGGGATCGATATTTCGATATATTGATAATTATCGATAGTTCGATATTTCGACATATCGAAAGTTAGATGTTTCGATAAATTGTTAGTAATCGATTGATCGATATTTCGATATATCGATAGTAGTCGATGAATCAATATTTCGATAGTAATCGATAGTTAGATACTTCGATATATCGATAGTAGTCGATAGATCGATATTTCGATATATTGATAGTAGTCGATAGTAATCGATACATCGATATATCGATAGCAGTAGATAGATCGATACATCGATATTTCGATATATCGATCTATTGAATATTATCGATATATCGATAATTATCGATACATCGATAATTCGACATATCGATAATATTCAATAGATCGATAATTATCGATAGTTCGATATTTCGATATATTTATTCAAAAAAAATAATTTTCGATATTTCTCGATATTGTATCATAAAAACGACTCGGCTGAAGATTTTGATTATAAAACAACAACAAAAATCGTAATTTACATTAAAAAAAAAGAAAATTTTTGGAAATCTTTTTTTCTTAATTTTCTGCCGAGTTGTTGCGCATATATCTATATATCATTTTATCAAGCATAAATAAATCATGCCGCATGCTACGTGAATTTCACTTTCGTGTCCATAAATTAATTTTCTCGACAGCTTAAATTTTCGTTTCTTGCTGAAAAAAAAAATTAAAATTAAAATTACAAAAAAAAACAAAGCTCACACGCTCTATATATATGTTCTCTGTTTCTGCTGGGCTTCAATGTTTTTTTCTTTATTATCTATTATAATTGTTACACGCTACCAAAGAAAAAAGAAAAAAAACTTGACAAATTGTCATTATTTTTTTTTACAAAAAAAAAATAATAAAATTTCTTAAAAAATGTTGTTTTACGAAACAAAATTAAGAAATTGATTAAAATGAAGACAAAAAAAATCAAACGAAACCCAAGGATGATGCCCTGGAAAAACAAATATAAATAAAAATATAAACGAAAAAAAACCTGATTGGCATTACTGGAAACGCGTCAAAAACTGGACTCTAACGGACCTTTCTTTATCTCTTTCTTTATCTCTGCTTTTTTTAAAAAAAAATTAATTTTCATTTCCTCGTCGTTTTTCTTATTTTATTTATTTAATTTTTTTCTTTGATCCCTACTAACTTTTTCTTTCTTTTCCTTTATTATTTTTTTTATAATAATTTCAAAAATTTCAAACACGGGAAAAAATTACTTTTCGCTTAAAAGCTGGGAGCAACAAAATTAATTTATGGACGAAAGTCTACGTATTTTTTTTCGCGGTTATTATTTTGGTTCTTTAAAAAAAAAAAAAAAAAGAAAAAAAAGCATACAATATATATTTATACTGTAGAAGACAAAGAAAAATATGGGCGTAAACGCGTCGTACTGCGGTGGCTTTTCAAAAAGAGCTTTGTCGCTTTTAATGCTTTATTATTTTTTGATTCCTTATTCCAAAAAAAAAAAAAAAATTTTTACAAAAAGAAATTTTTTTCCCAAATTTTTTTAATCCCTTCTTTTCCTCTCTGAATCCTATAAACATAAACTGGACATGAAAAAATATTGACAATCGAAAACGTTCTATATACCGACAGTTGGTAATACAGTAAAATGACTTACCGACGGAGTTTTTTTAAAATTAAAAATACTTTTCTTATTAAGTAGACGGGAAAAAGTTTAAGTTAGTAATAAATATTGGTAATAATGTTTGTTGATTTACCGACGGTCGGTAATGTAATAAACTGACTTACCGATGAAAGGTTTTAAATTTAAAAATACTTTTTAATCTATTAACGTAGCGAGGAAAAATGTTAGTTACCAAAAAATATTGCTTATAATGTTTGTTGATTTACCGACGATTGGTAATATAGAAAACTGACTTGCCGACAAAAGTTTTTTAAATAATTAAAATACTATTATATCTATCGAGTGGCGATAAAAGTAGCGTGACTAACCGACGATTGTTACTGAGAAATGTCTCTACCTTATCAACAATTATTACCGACTTACTGCCAATTATTATCGACTTCTCAACTTTTGTCTTTCGTTTATTATATATATTTTTCCTGACTTGACAACAACTACCAAAGATAACTACAAACCGTTGATTATTGATTACTTATCGACAATTGTTTCTACCTTATCGACAGTTGTTACCGATAATCACTAACTTAGCGACAATTATTTGCTTAATTACCGACAATACTAACTTGCGGTAATTATTACCGACCTATTGGCTTATCACTGACTTACCGACGTTCCCTACCTTACCGACGGAGACTCTGCATTACCGACATTGAAATAATTGTTTTCCGTCAAAATTTATTTTTTCCAAACTGTCCACAAAAATTGTTGACTGACTTACGATAATTGTTGCCAACTATTGGCTTATCACCGACTTACCGACGTTCCCTACCTTCCTTACCGACTGAGACTCTACCTTACCGACATTAAAATAATTCTTTTCCATCAAAATTCATTTTTTCCAAAATATCCACAAAAAAAACATTTCTTAGTAATTACAAAATATTTTTTTTCAAAGAAACAAAATTCCAAAAAAAGAAATGTTTTTTTTTATTGGAAAATTCCTTCTAATTCCTATTGTTTAGTTATTCCATCTCTCCTTTCTTTTTTTCTGGGCTAATTCTTTGTGGTTTTGGTTTTGTGGTGTCTTTTTGGTACCCGACTACGAACAACAACTCAACTCGACTTTCAACAACAACAACAACAACAACCACAACAACAACAACAATATCAACAACAACAGTGTGAGGCCTCCTGCACACAATCCATATTATGTGACAAGTCAAAGCGCGGCTGCCCATGCAGCGGCACAGGTGTCAATTCCAGGCTCAGGCTCAAGCCAGTTCGTAGAAGTAGTTGGCCATCAGGCCCAATCAGCGATTGCCGTTCCAGTAATGCCAGCAGGAGCCGGCCGTACTTTACACTATCATACACACGCGGCAACACACGCACTTCCACATCAACCGCCCCTCACATATCCCAATTGGGTTCCATTCACACATTTTGGCTAGTATCAACCAATATCTGTCATCAAACTTTCAAAATCGAGTGTTTTTTAAAAATTTCCCCTCCCCCTTACAAAAAAGAACTTTTTTATTTTATGAAGAAAAAATTCAAAATTTTGCAGCGCTCAAAAATTTTAAATCCAAGCAAAATTTAAAAATTTTCAATTTAAAAGCAACGTAATAAAAATGCTTACAATTATAAACGTTCTTAATTTTTGAGCGCTTCTTTTGGAAAAAAAATATTTTCCTAATTTGGCAGCGCTCAAAAATTTTAATCTAAGCAAAATTATACATTTTTAAATTTAAAATAATAAAAATAATAAAAAAAAATATTCTAAAATACGGCAGCGCTCAAAATTTTAAACTTAAACGCTGCGAAAAAAACAAGCGCTTCAAATTAAAATCGCTTTTAATTTTTGAGCGCTTAAAGTTTTTGAAGAAAAAATTCAAAAATTTGGCAGCGCTCAAAAGTTTTAAATTCAAGCAAAATTTAACATTTTTGAATTTAAAAGCAACTTAATAAAAATGCTTACAATTATAAACGTTCTTAATTTTTGAGCACTTCTTTTGGGGAAAAAAAAATATTTTCCTAATTTGTCAGCGCTCCAAAATATTTAATCTAAGCAAAATTGAATGTTTTTTGAATTTGAATGCTGCGGATAAAAGCGTCAAAAAATTAGAAACGCTTTTAATTTTTGAGCGCTTCTATTTTTGAAAAAAAAATTCAAAATTTAAAAAATTACCCATTTAAAAAAAAAAAATTTTTTTTTTTCCCAAAAAAATTAATTATTTAATCCACTCGATTTTGAAAATTTGAGAAAAACAAATCCCTTTTCTAAAATATCGCGTTCTCTCTAGTCATCTTCGTTTGCAAATTTTTGACAATCCCAAACAAAAAATGTTGAACAATGTGTACAAATAATGATAAAAAAAAATCGAAATTTTCTGTATAAATATTTAAGAAAAAAAAAAATGAAAATGGACATTTTAACCCTTAAAAATAAATCGAAGGTGCCTCGAGAGAAAAAAAGAGGGATTGAAAGAAAGAGAGCGAGAGAAAATGTACTAAAAAAAAAACACACGTTAACATTTTGTAATTATTTTTCACATTTTTACACTTTAAAAAAATCGGTTTAATTATTATTATTATTATTACGATTTAATTAGTAGCTATTATATTTAATTAATTATTATGTAGACAATAATTGAGATTTTTTTTTTTTGACTCATTTTGAGTTCAATTTTTTGTAAATTCTTTTTTATATATTTAGACTCGTGCAAAAGAAGCAAGTCGTCCGCCGTGCTAGTTTAATTTTTTTTTTTAAATAATTTAATTAACTTTGAATTATAAAATTTTGCTAAAAGCAATATTTTTGCCGTCACTAAAAATTATTGCTTCAATTTATTTGAAGTGACGAGAAAAAGTGAAAAACAAGACTAAAAAACTGAAAAATACGATTAAAATAATTTTCGTTTCTATTTAAATTTTCATTTATAATTTTTTTCTTACTTCTATTTATTTTTTTATTT